TCAGAACGTCCCGGCTTAGGTGGTGACCATCTCATGTCCATGACTAGATAAGACTTCCCTTTAAAGGAGATCCTCAGGATACGTCCTAGGTCATTTTGTGTTCAGAATGCTGACAGACCACATTTGTCATGCTGTTACTAGGAAACTGAATTTGGCATCTAAAAGGATGTATGGGGCTGTCCCGTGAGACTGAGCAATGTACTGCGTATATAAAAGTGGTGTCCTTTTCTGTTTCAAAACAACGGGCCCCTGCCATGGTCAGACTACCCTCCTCTGTCTGTGTCACCATGTGGTAGGAGGGACAGACTGTCTGTGTCACAGTGTAACTCCATTCCTTCTTGTACTGTTCCCAACATGCCATTGTGTCCTTTGGTTTTGCCGGGACCCCCTGGCAGTGAAGGAGTGACTCCTCTCCTCCCTCCTATTTTTACGCTCTCCGTTCCAACTTTTCTCTTGCCAAATAAACATGGGAGCAGCTGAATTTCCTCTCATGGAGACATCTGTGATTGAACAGACGTTGGGGACAGAGTATGGGGACTCTGGCAAACCTTCCTTCCTGGGAGGAGGGGGGGACAGAGCAAAGGAGAGACCCTGAAGGTGTAAGTGAAAAGAAGGAAGGGGGGTGGGGGGGATAATATGTCCTGTCTGTCACCAGTCAATGCCCAACACAAAATAATACAGATTCCCTTACACATTGGTAAATATATTTCTCCAAATATTGGAACCACTGTCAGCTGTTTCCAAAGCCAACCTGCCGAAAAACTAATCAACGGCTGCTTTTAGGAAGGATTTCCTACTTACTTATGTTTGCATCAGTGGGGGAAATAGAAGAGAACGTGTGGTGTATCAGGAACAGATGCAGGATTTTTTTTAAAGGCCTACATCGTATGTTGTAGGTATTATTATTTTAAGAAAGAATATATTTTTTACAGTGTAGGTAATGCACACACGACGATGGTGTTCCTGTAATAAGATGTTACAGGGGTAATAAGACACTCAGGAGCCTGGTCACTGTAATATGATGGTACAGGGGTAATAAGACACTCAGGAGCCTGGTCACTGTAATATGATGTTACAGAGGTAATAAGACACTCAGGAGCCGGGTTACTGTAATATGATGTTACAGGGGTAATAAGACACTCAGGAGCCGGGTTACTGTAATATGATGTTACAGGGGTAATAAGACACTCAGGAGCCGGGTTACTGTGATATGATGTTACAGGGGTAATAAGACACTCAGGAGCCGGGTTACTGTAATATGATGTTACAGGGGTAATAAGACACTCAGGAGCCGGGTTACTGTAATATGATGTTACAGGGGTAATAAGACACTCAGGAGCCGGGTTACTGTAATATGATGTTACAGGGGTAATAAGACACTCAGGAGCCGGGTTACTGTAATAAGATGTTACAGGGGTAATAAGACACTCAGGAGCCGGGTTACTGTAATATGATGTTACAGAGGTAATAAGACACTCAGGAGCCGGGTTACTGTAATATGATGTTACAGGGGTAATAAGACACTCAGGAGCCGGGTTACTGTAATATGATGTTACAGGGGCAATAAGACACTCAGGAGCCAGGTTACTGTGATATGATGTTACAGGGGTAATAAGACTGAGGAGGCGGGTTACTGTAATATGATGGTACAGGGGTAATAAGACACTTAGGAGCCGGGTTACTGTAATATGATGTTACAATGTTAATAAGACACTCAGGGGCCGGGTTACTGTAATAAGATGTTACAATGTTAATAAGACACTCAGGAGCTGGGTTACTGTAATGAGATGTTACAATGTTAATATTCTTCTTATTTGTTATAAGATGTTGCTGAAATAATAAAGTGCTCAGAATTGAGTTTACTGTAGCTGGGGGTAAGGAACGCGAGCCTGCTTTCCATATGCGGTGAGTCAGGGGTTCAGCTGAGGACAGTAACCTGCACCTGTAAGTGACATTTGTCTCTCCTTTGTCCTCTGGTTAGTTTACCCTGTGTGTGTTTGCTCTGGCAGAGGGGAGGTATTCGGAGGTGTACATAGGTATATAGAGGAGGGCAGAGCTACTCTCACACAGAAGACCATTGTGCGCCTGTACTGGTGTTTATTCATCAATTAACCCCTCCCGCTCCTTTCCATTCATGCATTCTCTTCCCTTCTGCATTCTCTTTCTCTAGTCTGCTTTTGGTGTTTACTGCTCTCACGTTTGGCTTCTACACTTCCCCGTACGTTCACTTTTTGTATTCCTAGATCCTGTTTCTAACATAATGGCATTAACATTTCTGTAACAGAGTCAGTAAAAAAAGATTTGATTTCCTCAGGAAATGTAGTGGTGATGGTGGTGGGGAGGTCGACTTTGTGCACAGGTGTGTATGTGACCATTCGGCTCGTAGCTGGGCATGTCTGAACCAGGAAAAAGGCAATGTCCACTTTTTGCACTCTATCCGTTGTAAGTCATGTGACCGGTTAGTGACGGAACGCTTGGCAGTGACACAGGCAGGGTTGCAAATTGTTGCAAGGCAAGTGCATAAAAGTGATATAAATGTCACCATTTGTCACCTTCATTTCAAAACAATATCCTGCTTGCCTAGACTGGTGTCCTTCTGTAAAGTGGCTCATGCCATTCATTATGTATCTATTGGTGAGTTCTCTGCACCCAATTCACACCATCCAATCTTATAGAGGAGCCGATACACACAATGGTGGGCAGGAATGCCTAAAGCCCCCAGGTGGACAAAGTAGGGTGCTATAATAGGGGGATCTTGCTTTTGCAGCATCCAGGACATTTCAGAATACCCACCAGATTCCACCAATAACTAAAATATTGCTTTTGGACCTGTAATGACCAAGTAATATCCATATTTCTACCTTATATTGCCACTAGAACTAACATTTAGTGGTACAGCACCATTGATGATGCCACAAGTGTGATTTCCAGGCCCTTTCTCATCTCCTTAAGAGCAGCAAGGAATGCCTCAGGCAGTCAGAGGTTCTCATTGCACACTGAGATGCAAAAAGATGTTGGAATGTCTCCCAGGAAGAGTGTCTGTTCCTTTCCCTTTTCAATGCAGAAGAATAAGCCATCAGGACTACAGCATTTGCTGCGCTACCGCTGTCGTCAGTGTTCCTGGTGCTGGAATAAGCCGTGCCAGGATGGGCGGACATGTCCCCGCCTGGAGTTCTATTGGAGATATTTGCCTAAGGGCAAGCCTAGTACCAGCAGACCAAACAAAAGGGAATGTGTCGTTATATCTGAGCAGTTGTATTGCACTACCAGATTTCATCTGGAGGTGTCACTGAAGAGAGGTCCCATGACGGTGGGAGCTAAAAAGTTTATTCCATTGAAAAGCAACACTAAGGGAACACCACCCATAACTTATTTTAAAAGAAAACATCTTTAGCTTGCATTCACAAGAGGCTGGCCAGCAATCACGTGCACTCGCTGGCTTTTCTGGATAGCGTGGAGCAGCGTGCATCGGATCTGGGGCCTCGGGGCACAACTGTTCTAAACACATTTATAAATATAGATACTGGTGGCAGAAAATAACTAAGTTGTTCTTTGTGCCAAGTATGATTCATTGACATTTTTTGTGCAATCTTTATCTGTTATTCGCTTCCTGGCCTGTAGTAGTTGCTTATCTATCCATGCAAGTCTCATTGACTTTGTTGTTTTTCCAATTTTCTACTCCCCATCTGTTGGAGAAGTTTTTTATGTGCTTAGCTCCAGATTTGTAAAAAGGCAACATGGAACGAGCCATAAGAGTTTCACTTATATGGGTGCCTAGTGGACAGAAGTTTAGAATAGATTCTTAGACATGGGGTGGTTGCAGGTTTTTAGAGTTGGGGGAGGGGTGGTTATTGGGTGCATTTAAGGGTGCCTAGTGGACAGATTCTTAGAACAGATTCTTAGACATTGGGGGTGCTGGCAGATGTTTAGAGTTGGGGGGTTGATTTTTGGTTGCATTAAAGGGTGCCTAGTGGACAGATTCTTAGACTTTGGGGGGTTGGTTGCAGATGTTTACATTTGGGGGGGGGGGGGGATTGTTGGTTGCCTTAAAGCGTGCCTAGTGGACAGATTCTTAGAACAGATTCTTAGACTTGGAGGGGTTGACTGCAAAAAGTGGAGGAGATCATTGTTGATTGCATTAAAGGGACAGGTCCTCTTTTATTGATATTTTGGTTGTGATGAGATGTTGATGGGTTTAATCACCCCCTGATTTCTCATATTGTTGGGGTTCAAGTGGTGAGGCGTCTCCACTGCAGCTTTCGTCTCACCTCTATGTTACATGAAAAATGAAAAAGAGATTGAGACTTCCCCTTTTAAAGGGAATGTAAAGTGACTTTGTATATATTGTTTTCATCATGTTCAGGACCAAAACATTAAAACATTAAAAGTTTATATTGCATGTGCATATTTTGTGTGCTCACAAGCAGCCTTGGCTGGAGCTCTGGGCACATTTTTCACATGTTTCCCAGCTCTCCTCATGTGCTTTGTTAAATAAAAAAAATAGTTAACAGAGTTCAGTAGTTCAAGCTTTACACCTAGTAAATGCATAAGAGCAGGGACTGCATCCCTTCTCTCCTCCTTCCTCTGTAGGGCTCCACCGGAGGTTTCAATCAGACAGGTGAGTCAAACGGCAGCTTCTAATCCAGTAGTGCTCTTGCTGTCATTGGTGCACACTGTATGAAATATTTGTATAACAAACAATGTGTGCATATTAAAACCACATAAAACATCAGTTTAAATATATATCTGGAGATAATAGTTGACTTAGCAGTAGAGATGTGCAGAGAGATTCAGACAAGCCAAGATTGGACATGGACTAGGAAAGTTTCTATGATTCAGATATCCACATAATTTTGGAGGGTCGCACTATTCAAAGCTGCTGCCTCACTTTCCCTGCACAACCTTTCACACTAGAGTTGCCACCTGTCAGGGATTCACCCGAACAGTCTGGATGTGAATGCTGTGTTCTGGTTTCATGGCAGCTAAAACCCGGACACAAGATGTCAGGCAGACAGGGGCAACCAAAATTAAGATAGTGTGTACTGGCCCCCCCACTGAAAACAGTCTTGCCTGTGATATTTACATATGAATGGGTGGTGCTATTTACATATGAATAAACCGCGACTCATTCTCCCCAAAAACATTTCCGTACATCGCTAAAGCATTCGGGTTTCGCTGACATAAAAGGTGGCAACCCTATTTCACACAGCCAATGAGGAAGGGGTTGAGTCACAAGGGGTAACATACAGTATGAATGCATTAGTAGAAACCAAGGAATCAAAAGGACTTCAGGAGTGCACACCTCGTCCACTGCCTGGTGCCTGGGTGAAACCTCCTTCGGCAACTCGGAAGAACTTCAAGCATGCAGAAATTTAGTACAGTGGCGTATAGGCATAGTCCGTATTAAAAGCTCTTTGACTTTATAACATAAGTATGGTAGAGCAAAACAGACAAGCTCCCATTTCACCTAGCAATGCTTTGGAACTATGTCTGACCTTCATTAATCTAGGAGCAAACTCCTAGATTTGGTGCTTTGCTATAACAAATGGTCTTCTTGGAGGGATCTTGCATGATGTTGTTTTTTTTCCCGTAGTCACAGAAGTGTTCATTGACACATCTTGCAAACATTATGTAGCACACTTATCACTGACAGTATGCGTTATTAATGGTTGTTGTTGCTTGCGAAACAACTCGCTGACTCTGAAACAAATAACAGCAAACATTTTACCAAGCTACAGCACGTAACTAGATTGTTGCTAATGAAACAGACGTGAAAGGGAGTCAGCGCAGCATTCAGCTTATTTAAAGAGACTCTGTCACCAGATCATTAATTTCAACATAAATCTTTCCATAGGATTATATGTGCATTTATTCATATGCCATGAGAATGCTGCTGGCCACCACATCACGCCCAATAGGTTCGGAGCTGTCACTCAAGTGACACTGTATGCTATTTGCCCTTTGATTCTCCCCGGGCAGCTATATGGAGGGATATAGATGGCAATAGCTGCCTGCTCCAATCAATGGAGAACACTAGGTGGCAAGAGCTGTTTTCTTCCAATCAACAAATGGTGCTAGGTGGCAACAGCCACCTGCTTCCAATCAGTAAAGGACACTAGTTGGCAAAAGTTGTCTGCTTCCAATCAACAAAGGGTGCAAGGTGGCAATAGCCACCTGCTTCCAATCAATGGAGGAGACTAGGTGGCAATAGCCACCTGCTTCCAATCAATGGAGGACACTGGGTGTCAATAGCCACCTGCTTCCAATCAATGGAGGACACTGGGTGGCAATAGTTGCCTGCTTCCAATCAATGGAGAGCACTACGTGGCAAGGGCTGTCTTCTTCCAATTACCAAAGGGTGCTAGGTGGCAATAGCCACCTGCTTCCAATCAGTAAAGGAGACAAGTTGGCAAAAGTTGCCTGCTTCCAATCAGCAAAGTGCGCAAGGTGGTAATAGCCACCTGTTTCCAATCAATGGAAGGCACTAGGTGGCAGTAGCCACCTGCTTCCAATCAATGGAGGACACTAGGTGGCAACAATTGCCTGCTTCCAATCAATGGAGAACACTAGGTGGCAATAATTGCCTGCTTCCAATAAATGGAGAACACTAGGTGGCAATAATTGCCTGCTTCCAATCAATGGAGAACAATACGTGGCAAGAGCTGTCTTCTTTCAATTACCAAAGGGTGCTAGGTGGCAATAGCCACCTGCTTTCAATCAGTAAAAGACACTGGATGGCAAAAGTTGTCTGCTTCCAATCAACAAAAGGTGCAAGGTGGCATTAGCCACCTGCTTCCAATCAATGGAAGACACTAGGTGGTAATAGTTGCCTGTTTCCAATCAACAAAGGACACTGGGTTGCAATAGCTGTCTTCTTCCAATCAAGAAGGGTGCTAGGTGGCAATAGCTGCCTGTTCCCAATCAATGGAGAACACTAGGTGGCAAGAGCTGTTTTCTTCCAATCACCAAAGTGTGCTAGGTGGCAATAGCTGTCTTCTTCCAATCAACGAAGAGTGCTAGGTGGCAATAGCTGTCTTCTTCCAATCAACAAGGGGTGCTAGGTGGCAATAGCTGCTTGCTTTCAAACAATGGAAGAGACTTGGTGGCAAGAGCTGTCTTCTTCCAATCACCGAAGGGTGCTAGGTGGCAATAGCCGCCTGCTTCCAATTAAGAAAGAACGCTAGGCGACAGAAGTTAAACAAATGTTATGGCTGGAATTCCACTTTAATAGTTTAGTATAGGTCTGTGCCATGTAGGAGCTGTAGGATCCAGAGAATGATCTTGGTACTGCAGAATATATCCCATAGAGGATTACATTCTGGTTAAGGAAGAGGGTTAAGAACCGTTGCTGATGTTTCCCCTTTAAATGTGAAGTCTTGCAATGATCTAATGTCTGTGGTATGTTTAATTAGAATTCTGGACAACACATGTATACACTGTTGGCTCTGTATTCTGAAGCAGCAGAAAGCAATTCCTGGCTTTGGGATTTATTTAATATGGCGATGCAAAGAGCAACGCTGGTGTGCGAAGTGCGGTAACCCCTAGCGACCAAGCGGCACCCTTTTGGATCTGCTCGAGCAACATTAATTGATTTCTGATTAGCCTGTTTTACAGCACGTTGCCTTATAAGTCCTGTTTTTTTAATGCTACTCTTGCCAAGTTAAGTGGAAAACTTCTATTTAGATTTGCAACTCCAAGGCAAAAAAAGCTGAATAGAGGTGGGAGCTCTAATAAGTGCCGTGTAGCTGAACAACGCAGATAATTAGTGAGACTAAAAAAAGATACACTATAAAAAACTCAAAACAGAACGACAGATATAAAAGACCCAAAATAATTCTACTTACTTATTCATTAAAGAACTCATTGAATGCATTTACATAGTATATTAATATGTCTAGTAGGGTATTGCCATGGATTAGCCATTGATTGGGGCAGAAAGTTTGGAGTTTTAGGGGTTATTAAACCCTCTGGGGTTTTGCATATATCTTCTGCTAGCAAGCAAAAAAAAAAAAAAACTTTTCAAAAGGGTTTAAACTTACCTGTGTCTCCGCCGCTCACTCCCGCCTAAGAGCTGAAGATTCTCAGGCTGCCACAAAGGATCTTGGGGCAGGCTCATTCGCAGTTCAGATCTTTGGCTGGGGGACGAGGGGAGACACAAGGTAAGTCAATGCAGGCAGCCCAGCAGCGTGTACCCGCGCAGACACCGTGGGACACAGAAGACACATCAATCAGCGCTGGATCAGAGACAGGCACCAGCGCTGCAGGGACTGATGAAAACTACTGGAAAGAAGAAGATGGTCAGATCAAGAGGCATCAAGGTAAGTGCATACAGCAGCATGGCGGGGGGAGAAAATTTGACTTTAATGTCACTTTAAGAGGTGTATTTATAAATAATTTGCCGTTTTCCCTGTGAATATCTGCGAACATTCTGTTTGAATATATGCACAAACGAGCGTTTGTTCGTTTTTACCTTTGCAGGTGTAATTAAATGGGAATGCTCTGATTATAATACTGCATCATGACCACTAGATGGAGCAAATGTGCATAGAAAACAAATCCTTATTTCCTATGCTCCTTTAGCACCATCTACGTTGAAGATTTTGCTCAGACCGCTACGCTGCAAAGCTCCGCCCCCCCAGCCGCCAAAACTTGTACCTGAGCCATTAGGCCCTGTGTACGGTATTAGACACAGTTTTTACCAGGTATTTGGCAGACGTCTCTGCTAGGAAAGGATGATGTGTAAACAAAACCTAACTTTGACAACGCTATATCGCCTCACTAACTGTCAAGTGCGCACACATTAAGCGGGAGTTAATAGACAAGCCGAGGGAGAGTACTGTGGTTGCATGGTTCGCATACCACAGAGGGAAACAATGGCAGGAACTTAAAAATTTTAGGGGAACTTTTTATTAACTTGCACTCGCCGAGTCACCTAATTTGGGTGTGCACGCTCGTTCGTATCAGACGCAGCAAACAAAAGACAGGCAATAATCGATGCCTCCCCCCACCACCACCACCTCTTCATGACCAGGTGAAGTTATTAAAGGTGAAATCTACCTTATACAACGTTATGGTGCAAATGACAAAAAAAAAGTGCCAAACTTATCCACCAATCTGCGGTTTATCACGTGCCACGTCAAGGGGAATTCCAAAGATTGTGAAAGACCTGGAGCACCCTTGGGCACGCTAAAGAGCTGCAGCACACTTCGCTTTAGTCACACTGTGTTGAACAGTCGGTGGGACTTAAAGGGGCCTGGTAAAAGAGAACATGAGGGTATTTGCTGTATGCACTGCACCCATATGCTGCAGTTTCTGTACCCACTAAATATGCCTTCATTACTGTGCCACAAATGAGAGTCGCCCGGACAAAGGTAAACCTAAAGACGAAGGTACTGTTTCTTTACAAATGAATCTCTTTCATGCTTTCCTGCACACATAATATAGACAAAAAGCTAACACTCTGGGGTTCGTTTATAACAATGTATATAGGGAATTTCCAATAGCTGTCAGCGCCACCTAGGGGCACTAGTGCCGTGCAAATGACTTCTTGCCAGGGAGATCATTTATAAATGATCTGCTTTGTCTGAGCCTACCTTAAAGGAGAGCTGGGGGGTAAAAACTGAAAGAGCCTGTGCACTGTACCCATGATGCACTGATCATGGTTGCAAAGCTCCTCAGGCCTCAATACAAACATTTAGTAAATGCACATTTTTTTTATTCTATCAGTGTTGGTGCATTTAGTCAATTTTGGCAAAAGGTGGCAAAACAACAGTGTAATTACAAAGCCAGTCCCTATGACTGCTTATACTCACCTTCTCTTCCAGTTGGCTGGCGGAGTGAAGAGAAGATGCTCTTTGTAAGCTCCAAAGTGCCCTTGTCAGAGCTCACGTAGGGCTAAACACTCTTACCAAAGAGAGTCACGCGCTCTTCACAACCAGCCAGTATTTGCCTTCATTCCAGGTGGATGGATGTAGTGGCTGGGAAGTGAAGGGAAGGCCAGTATAAGCTTTTACAGGGGCTGGAATTACAACCTGGCC